CCCCATAACGTTAGATCCGTCATAGTAGCACATACGGATTCTCGCGCCTGCACAGTTGTACGTATTCTTCGCATAGGCCGAAGGTAGGCTGTGTTATGGTAGGTTATATGTTATTTCGCGTTAGCGTAGAGAGCACTATTTCGGATAGTTTTTTAGAGTTTTCTAAAGAAACATTCGCTTTTTAAAAGGTATATTTTCGAAAATTACGTCAGATATGCTTATTTCGTTCTGTAACGTTCCCGCGGTGATAACGCGTGTTTGTGTGACTCTGTTGCCTCAGTAGCACACCCAGTACCTTTAAAATAATTTTCCAATCTTTCAAAATCGCCTCCATAACGTTAGATCCGTTATAGTAGTACATTCGGACTCTCGCGCATACACAGTGGTACTTATTCTGCGCATAGGCTGAAAGTAGGCTGGGTTATGGTAGGTTATAAGTTATTTCGCGTTAGCGTAGAGAGCACTATTTCATATAGTTTTTTAGGGTTTTCTAAAGAAACATTCGCTTTGGAAAATGTCTATTTTCGAAAATTACTTCAGATATGCTTATTTCGTTCTGTATCGTTTCCGCGGTGATAACGCGTGTTTGTGTGACTCTGTCACACAAGGGCACCATACATGTGTTCAAGGCGAGTACAAGCCTTTGTTCGCGAGTGTTGTTATCGGATCGGATCATGCGAGTCCTGATAACCTTCAAATCGAAGTTTCTTTGTCCGAACGGATAGCCACGTAATGCTATCGCGCTTTTCTCTTTTTTTGTAAATGTGACCGTAATGGTAGTTGTTCCGTAATTATTGCTTTATTAATAAAGGTTGTTCTCTATTGAGTTAGGGATTGACGTTCGACAATATTGAGTTTCTTTTATTTCTTTTGTGAGGTGTGTGTGTGGTTTTCACACATAGTAAGTTTGGCGGGAAACCGCCGGCGCCCCTCATATACACGTTCTCGCGCATGCGGGGTGGTCTTACCCACAGCGTATGGTCTTACCCACCGCGGGAGTCTTACCCACCGCTTAGGCTTATACTCGATCATGTTATTGCAGGATATAGGTTATTTTGCTTTAGCGTATAGAGCGCAATTTGGGATAGTTTTTTAGGGTTTTTTAAAGAAACATTCGCTATTGAAAATGTATATTTTCGATAATTACGTCATATATGCTTATTTTGTTCATCATCGTCTCCTGTGTGACAATGTGTGCTTATGTCACACAACTCTCTCAGCAGCACGCCCAGAATCTTGAAAATAATTTTCCAATATTTCAAAGACTCGCCCATAACATTGGATTCATCGTAGTAGCAATATATTTGTGTTCTCGTACATGCGCGGTGGTCCTATCCACCGCATTGGCTTAAAGTCGGTCATGTTATGGCAGGTTAGAGGTTATATTGCTTTAGCGTGTAGAATGCAATCTGGAATAGTTTTTTAGTGTTTTTTAAAGAAACATTCGCTGTTGAAAATGTGTATTTTTTAAAATTACATCAGATGTACTTATCTCGTTCTACATCGTTTCCTGTGTGACAATGTGTGTTTACGTCACTCCACTTTCTCAGCAACACGCCCAGAATCTTGAAAATAATTTTCCAATATTTCAAAATCGCGCTCATAACGTTAGATCCATCGTAGTAGCAGTATATTTTGTTCTCGCGCATGCGCCGTTGTCCTATCTACCGCATGGGCTTAAAGTCGGTCGTGTTATGGCAGGTTAGTGGTTATGTAGCATTAGCATGTAGAGCACAATCTAGAATTGTTTTTTAGGGTTTTTTAGGATTGTTTTTTAGGGTTTCTTAGAAAAACATTTGCTGTTGAAAATGTGTATTTTCAAAAATTTCGTCAGGTATGCTAATTTCGTTCTACATCGTTTCCTGCGTGACAATGTGGGTTTGTCTCACTCCACTCTCTCAGTTGCCCAAGTATTTTTATTACCGATTATTCGATCATCATTATTTCGTTATTACTGGCGTATATTTTCACGCGATTATCGAGCAGATATTATTATCACTACCATTTAATATTCAAGTATTATTACTTTTTTATTTGCTTATTATTTAATTTATTCGGTTATTATTTAAATATTGCTGTTACGCGTAAGGAACCGTCCACCACGCGTCTCTGGTCCACCACGCGTCTCTGGTCCACCACGCGTCTCCCGTCCACCACGCATCTTCCGTCCACCACGGGTCTCCCGTCCACCACGCGTCAACCGTCCACCACGCGTCTTCCGTCCACCATGCGTCTTCCGTCCACCACACGTCTCCCGTCCACCACACGTCTCCCGTCCACCACGCGTCTCCCGTCCACCACGCGTCTCCCGTCCACCACGCGTCTCCCTCCATCACCGAAAGTGTATAATATCTTTTTTTATTATTTATAGCGTGTTCGACTGACCCTGTGTTAATCGCTCCGAGAGCGATTAATGACGTCATAAGTCTCCACTAGCCAATCATAAAGCTTATAAGTACTTGTTCGACCAATAAATGTAAGCTGTATAACCCAGAGTGGGTTAACCCAGAGCTAGTCGAACATGCTATTAGATTTTATTATTTATTATTAAAAAATACCAAAATATAAGCATAGTTGAAAAATAATCCTACACACATTAGTACACACATACATACATACATTAGTACATACTTTGTTCCAATTGAATCGTGCACAACGTTACACTTTGTGCATTTCTATGTACATATGTGTCAAGATGTGTTAAACAATTGGAAAATACCCATGTTCAACTGGCTCTGGGTTAACCGTAAGCCCGTATCAGACTACCGACTGCACAAGCCAACCCGACTGCCGACTATGATTGCCGACTCTCAATGGACCAATCACAGTGAGGCGCCGAGCCGGCTAACCAGTTTATTGGTTGCATATTATCTTACAAGATATTTTAAATAATATGTGACCAATAAACTAGTTTTGTGTACATGTGTATCAAGATGTGTTAAGCAATTGGAAAGCACCCAATGAGTATCCTGCATCAATAACAATGGATTATTATCAAAAGGTCGCTGGTTAGACGCGTTGTTGATTTACTATCGAAATAGTTGTATAAAAATTACTGCAAAGAATAGTAGTAGCTATTTGAAGAGGTTTTAAAACAACAATTAGCTTATGAGTGTCCATTCACGTTCTCTTATTTCGAGTTGCTCAGCAGTAGAGCGGGAAACTTTATTTCTATTAGCTAAAACGTTTTCAACGGGAACCCTGTTTTGATGCAAACGATCAAGCATAAATTATATTAAATTCCATCGCATCTTAGAATTAGTTTATAGGGCATCTTTGAATTAGTTTTAAAACTGATAATCCAAGTGCTTTTTGTTGCTCTTCAAATGTATTGCTTGCTTTATACGAACGATGGAACAGAGAAGGATGGAACAAAGAGAGATGGAACGATTTTCCTAACAGTAAACATATTTGATGTATTTTGGGCTTATTTAGATTTTCTTTTATGCTGAGTTGTAGAGTATGAGCTGCACAGGATATTCCTGATTTTATTTCAGCATTGATATTTTTAAGATTTCAAATACGATTTTAAATACGATAATGTTTCGCGATATTATGCTTATTAAAAGTTGTGCGACATTTCGACATAAATTAACCTATGCGATAATTTTATTGATGAGTGTATTTTATGTGTAAAAAAACATTCCATTTAATGTAACAATTAGTTAAACAGTAAAAGTACGCACACGTGCGAAGCAACACGCGAGCGTCAAGATATAATAAAAGGCATGATTCTAGCCGCTTGTAATATTAGCTATAGCTATAGGTCGGGAGAAAGACGGCAGCTTGTACGTCTGCACTCTTCCACCGCCCGAGCCTGGCCGAAGCGCCAAGCGCTATAGTTCGTGACAGGCAGCTCATAGTTCTTTGCTTGTGTGCGCTGCGCCGCACGCACTATAGTTACGCGTACTCGGTCCCACATGTGGCAGCTCTGTGCGAAAGAGCGCCTGACGGACGTAGTTAGGCGCATTTTGGTTAGATGGCGTATCTAAAATGCGCCTAGCTCTAGCCGTTGAAATCAGGCCGATGGCCGCTCTCATGTTTCTCTCTGGTTTAGGTTTTGGACAAACCCGTTATTTATGTGGTTAGTTACAAAGTGTCCGCTACGAGGCGCCTTTTTATTTGAAAAATCAAGCTTGTAAGATACGACGTCATGTTAATATATACGTGTGTGTTTCAACAGCTGAACAGTGTTATTTTGGCCAGAGGCAAATACGCATAAATTTAATAGTAAAATTACTCAGCAGCATGTCATTTTCATTTAATCTTCTCTACAACGAGAAACGTGTAAAATAAGATTTATCAAGAATGTGTTAGTGAGTGAACTTTAAAAAAATGGTTTATGGCCGATAAAGGTATATCACAAAGAGATAAAGGGTGGAGAATCATTCAATCAACGACGTCGCAAAAAATATGTCAGACTTTGAAAATCTAACAATCAAGCAGCCTATTAGGCGCTTAGAAATTCAAATTAATAATTTTAATGTCGCCATTCCACATCATGTTGATTTGTTACAACGACATAGGAATAACATTAAAAAGGTATCAGTGTTTCATATTCTAGAAACCTTCTTTTATTTCTTACAGTTGGACAAAACAATTTATTTCTTGTTGTAGTATCAAGATCAGCGTGATTGGGAACGAATACAAAGGGAACACGCAAATGTCTCTAGGATTATCAAACAGTTGAAGGAATTATTATATCAAATGGATACTCTCAGAGCACAAGTACTCGACAATGATATTGAACAGTTTGACAAACTAACAGCGAATGCACGATCCAGTATCATGGATGCAATTAAAGAATACTTAGGTAAGGAATATAGAGCAACCACATACAATATTTTGGTCGATACAAAATTCAAAGTTAAGAAATAAATGTGCATATGACATTATAAATATGCTCCTACAGAGATGGAACTAAATTTATGGTTGTCACCACCCTCATCACCAGTAAGTGGAGATCAGTTACCACATCCACTTGCCAATGTTCAATTACAAGCAGAACAGGAAGATTTGCAACATCAGCAAGATTGCTTGCAAGTCTGGAGTTCTTTGCAAGGGGATATACAACAGTTACATGAGCTTTTTGCTGAATTTGACAAAGTTGTACATGTGAGTACAAAATTTCATATAATGAAATTTGAAAATAAAATTAGCATCACTGCCAATATTTATATATAGTTCAGCTTAAAGAGTTTACTATATGTTTTATGAACAATGCACAAATCAACAAATTTTCTTTTTACAAACAGGATCAGAGAGAAATGATGGTTAATACAGAAGAGAATATTGAAGAAACCCAGATAAATGTGAAGAAGGGCGCAAAGTTTTTAGAGAAAGCCTCAAGGTATAAGGTTGCTGCTTATCCTTTAGCAGGCGCTTTGTTAGGCACATGTATTGGAGGGCCTATAGGTTTGATAGCAGGACTCAAGGTTGGTGGACTTACTGCTTTAGGCTGTGGTATTTTAGGTGAGTTTGATACATAAATTGATTCTAAATTATATATGAAATTTGTTAATTCCATGTTCTATATTGGATCAAGATACATGAGAAATCAAGTCATAAGCATAGTAAGCATAAATAAGGAATAAACATAGTAGACATATTTCTCTTTAGGTTTCACAGGAGGATCATTGTTGAGGAAGAAACAAATTGAAACGGTTCCTAATAAATCAGTTACCGATGTCAAAAATGTTAAAAAATCTGTTTCTTGTCCTGAAAATTTAGAGACGGACAAAAAGCAATTATGACAAAACGTTACTTCATCAAAATGTGATATTAGTGTTAAACATACAAAAAAATGTAATATTGTGTAATTTTAAATTGTTGTTACATTTGTACGTTTTACTATTTCACATTTTTTATTTGGTTCCTTTTTGCTTTTAACATTTATGACATCATACTTATAATTATCTTTTTACGATCGCGAAATATTAAAGTAAGTTTGCACAACTAATTCAATCTATAAATTTTTGTTTAAAGTACAGACGGTCTATCTTGCAATGTATTATATCACCGTACCTTGCTTATCTTCGTAGAAATTATCATTCGCGGCATATATACGCAGTAAGCAAATTGATGGCAGAATGTGCGCAGATTGACAGCGAAAATCAGAATCCCATACCAAAACCATAGCCATCTGTGTTCGCATTCAGCTCGTGTTTCGTCGTTAGGGTTTTACTAGTACGCAATGCGAGCAGATTGGCAGCAGAAACCGCGCAGATTCTATCGCGCAGCAAAGTTGAATTGCCCGTCAGCAAGCTCTGTCACATTTCTGATGACAATTTGGCAACAGATATAACAAATCTTGTGTTGGATTTGCTGTCTTTCTGCCATTAAAAATTTGTAGCAGGCTTTGCTCAAAATCTGTTTATACAGGTTTGACTATCTAGGATATAGCTTATAAGTTCTGCCATGCACGTTTGAGTTGAAGGAAAGATTTCTTTTTTATAAAACAATGACATTAGTCATTGCCTTTCGCGTGCCTTCTTATCGCTTCAGGCCACTTAACATACGTACCGTGTTTTGCAACACTTTTTAAACATAATAAACCGCCTGTAAAATCGCTTATCTACGAATTACTACGATCACGGCCATATTTTTGAATAGAAATAAATAAGATAGAACACAGATACACTTTGTGCATCGTGTTTATAATAGAAATGGTTATATCAGTTTACGATATTTTTTTACCGTGAGATATTTTATACTTGAAACAGACTGAATTGGATTGTTTGGAGGAAATTACTTTTGACACTCGTCAACATAAGAAATATATGTTAAATAAGATATAAAAACGTTTTATATACATTGACCAAATTAAGAGAGTGCAAATTACAGTTAATACTACGTTATTTTATTTCCTATAATATACACGATGTACGATTGTAAAAATCGATTGGAAATCATAGGAATTTACTCTCGCATATAATTATATAATATAGGAAATGTGATAGATAATGTGGGAAAATAACACTCGTGAGAAGAGCTTGAGTTCTCTACAAAAGGCACCCAATACAGTATATTTAGCAAGTAATAAAATACATCGGTGTTAGACACGGTACAATACTGAAATAATCGTGTTATTAAATGTAATATATACATTTCATTCATAATGAAAATATTTAATCTATAGGGACTAAAGAGTGTTCTATATACTTAAAAAAAATATTAATAAATATCTAAGAACATATGTATAATATTAAGTGACTATCGGCATATCTTCTCTTACAAGGTACTATGTTATTATTAATGTTACTCCAACATCCCTAGTTCAAAAGCAACACCAAACACGCATTCAGACTTGTGGAAAATAGAAATTGCTTACTTTCTTTCGCTTAGTCTTACTTTCGAAGGTAAGGGATGCTTAGCCAGGTGCACCGCCGATATACGTATGGCATACTCGTCATGATTGAAATTCAAGTGAACGCAATTAATTATTTTTGATTGCAAATAATTGTAAATTAATATGATTAATCTATAACAGAATAGGGTGCATCGGACTGTGCCAAAAACTCTGCGACATTCTATGATCTACGTCTACGCTTCTAAATACTTAGACTTTTGTCTATAAAATATAAAATAAACAGTTTGGTTACTGTCCATAAGGTATACTTACGATACCTTGACAGACCTTGGCAATAAGGATGGCTAATTAACCGTCTTACTTGGAAGCAGTGTAACAATGCAGAATCACACATATCGGCTATTATTTCAATGTGACGTATTCGAAAGATTCACGGAATCGATTGCGCCTTTAATCAAATATATCTCTCCAAAGTTGCTTTACGAATCGTACCAGCGTGTTACGAATTGCATGTGCTTTAAATAATAACGTGTTATATCTACAAGTGATACTTTCAAGTAACCGCAGGCAAAGTGTCATGTACGATTCTGCATAGTTAACGGATTTAAAACATTGGAATATGGAGTGTGGATTGTCTTAAGGCAAGCTTACCATTTTAATTGATCCTAAGCTGTTCCAAAACATTTATCCACACATGTATCAAAACAACTTTATTCCTTAAACGTAATAGTACTCCGTAAAAAGAAATTTGGCTTTCTAGTACAGGCCAGAGTTAGGTTTACATCTACGACGGGTGATAAAAGATTTTACACAAATGACTGACATAAAAAGAATATAATATATATATATATATAATCTGGAAATAATATATATATATATATATATATATATATATATATATATATATATATATATAATATATAACTATGTTGATTATATTACCTGTGTAGCTACGTCGTATAAACCTTTAATATTACATTATTTTACAAATTGGTATGTGTGTGTGCGCATTGATTTGACATTCCTGAACATGTAGTCCACAATTAAAACTTGATGGACGTATCATCAAAATAGCCACGATATAATGGATGGTAGTAAGGAAAATATATTTTTTTCTATACGAAAAATTGCATTTCTCTAAGACGATCATATATTTTCCTTAATGTAATAAAGCGCGAACACAATGTGGAGTTGGAATATTACTATTTATTTTATAACTATAATATAAATAAAAGTATAAAATTATCGTAAAAGTCACCGGAAATTTTATGGGACTTCCCGCCGCTGTAATCAGGAATGCCAGTGTAAATGAGGATGGCGACCAGTGCATATCGCTTATGGTACTGTAGCATATCCCGACATGCAATCTTACATTTGGTAGTACATGTTTATCTCTAGTGTTCGTCTTGAGAACATTCGTGAAATCAATGACAGCATAAGAAAATACAGGTTGCCATTACTTCAGAAAAGTTCCCGGTGAGTTTCACAGGTAACGGCTATACGATCATCTCACATAGATCTGTGGATTTCGAAGCGTATCAAAAGATAGATTCACAGACAGATGAGATTCACTTGGGACTTGTGAACGCCAGTAAAATTCGGTACAGTCTCCGCAGCCTTAGAACAATAATCTACGTTTATGTAATGCGATTACAAGTTCGTAGCTGGGCACACGTGTTAAGCGTAATGCGGCGACCTACCGAATTGCATGCGACTTCTGCCCCGTTACGTCGTTAAACTATTAGTTGCTCAAGGCTGCAAATGTCGCCCTAATGCTACAGTACGCGTGCGACGATATTGCCTCATTGCACCTAACTAAATATGCCACGACGACATGTCACGTTCTCCGTAACACAAACTTGCAAGCGAATCGATGATACACACTATCGCTTCTTCGTGACTGTTTCCCATATCGGGAAGAATTCACAGATTAATGGACATGTCTTGATCGTAAGACGTGAGATTCGTGTCGGTCGAAGAAGCGGGTGTAACCGTTGCCGCTGTCGCGCTGGTCGGCGACTGCAAAGGAGTGGAAGTCGTAGGTAGATGCGACGTAGGGCTCTCCAAGGTTGAATTCCAGTGACTTCTCTCGGTGCCGTCACCCCCATCGTCCGACACGATCGAGATATCAGCAATAATGCCGCTTTCTATAGTAAGAAAGATAAATGTGCAACAAAGAAGATTCACTGATATAAGACTTTTTATATTGAGATAAAGAAATGTGAAGAAATACTGACCGACGCTGCACTGGCTGTTAAGCGTAGTACTACGATGATGAGGTCGTGGACTCGTGTCTAATCCGAGATTAAGTGTCGTAGGAGGGCCGCTACTTCCGCCGCTGCTTGAGGACGAACTAACGGAGATCACGCTGTGTGGTCTCCTGCTACAACGACTGGAATCCTCCGACATCGACACCGCAATGGAGTTCCTAAATCTGGGTGCTGTGAGAAAACACAAGTTGTCGTCTCAATACTCGTCGATCAACGATGTGGGAGAATCAATTTTTATGAAAATATGTGATTGCTGTACTTACTCTTAGAGAGTTGAGCTACGCTGATGGAGCGATCGTTAATCTGATCCGCACTAGGCCTTATATCTAAACACGGCTTGTTCCCAATGCCCATGCTCGACATCTCTGCCAGGCGCACTTCTGCAAAGAGCAAAAACGCTGTAAATTACTAATCGCGGACTTTTTACGGGATGAACAAAGTAAAAATGACGAATCACCTCTGTTTCGAAGCGCCTGTTTCCACAGAAGATTGCTGAGTTCCTCGGTCCAGGCTTTCTTGATGTCCTCGCTCGCGCACTGGAGCGTGTACGTGTCGCCCGGTTTTCGTTTGCGGAACCAGATCTCAAATTTAGTGGGTGAATCCGCGATAACGGCGGTCAGACCGATGTCCGTCGTCTTAATGCTATGTTTGTAGATGTAAATGTCAAGATTCTGGAAAAAGGAACGCATATATCGGCGATATCTGATAAAATCAGAAGGCAACGCGCACGCAGAAATCTGCACATAAATTGTGCATCATTCGCGCAATCTTACCTTCCTGTCGGGGAATCTTCTCGCTTTACTGAAGAGTATAAGATCTTCGAACAGGAAAACTTGACGCAGGCACTTCTTGCCCTTTCCTTGCCAGACTAAAAACTCGTTTTGCCGCAGCAGTCTACCCTGTTCTTTTACGTTCACCTACGAAGGAAGATTACATCTTGCGTGACGAACTATAACATTGGCGGGAGCCACGCACCTTATCAGTATCTTTCGCTACTTTTGCATCTTTCGTTTATTCATCAACTGGAAAGTGCTTAATAATGTTTCTTTTGTTGAGAGGAGCCTCTGGTTTAGATAGCCAAAAAAAGTTCTGATAAATTAAAAAAAAAATAAATTAAGATATCAATATAAAGGTTTTGACCAAATATATATATATATATATATATATATATATATAATCATTTTTATTTAAAGAAATTAAAATTCCGTTCGTGTGATAAGTACGGCGTCGCATTTTTTTTTAAATAAACAAATTTTAAAACAATGACAGATAATATAATCAGAATTTTATATTGACATTTTCATTTATTTCTCTGAAAAAAATTCGCAGACTTGTTATCTCTTTTCGACTATCTAAACCACACACACAGAAAACCTTCTCTTCATTTCATTATATCTACTAGGCGCGATAAAACGGGACATACGTCGCAATCGCGAAGTGAATCCATCGCCAGGAGATCGTTTCCGTGCCGCAGCTGAAATCGCACCATCTGCTCGGCAGCTCTCAAGTCTGCCTCGCCCTCGACCATCGGCTTCATGCCATCCTCCTTGTCTTCCTTTTCCTCTTTACCGGACAATTGCTCCGACAGATCCGTGCCGGCTTTAACTAATTGCTGAAGTAACAGAGCGTATTTTCCCATTCGCTGGACCGGCTTCAGCAAGTAACTAGCAAGGTCCATTTTATCGCCCAGCTCTAACTGCTTCTGCTTGAAGAAGCTAGTGCCGTATTCCGCCATGAGTGAGTCCGAGTTTGGTTTATTTTTATTGTACAGGGCGTAGAGGTAAAACTTCTTCTCCTGCGAAACACAGCAACTTCTTATCTCTTCTAATCTACGTTGATTGTATTCTCAGTGATTAAGAGCCAATATGACTAAAACTTACGTGTCTCAGGAAACACTGTCCCACTAACATGGGCGATTGCTCGCACTGCTCCAATTCGCGCAGAAAGTGTTGGCTGTGAAATTCATATATCTTCTCGACATTCCCGAAAATTACGTTCCTCTGTCCTCTGAGTGCCTGCGGAATGTCTTCCCGCACGAGTTCTGGGATATAGTTCTACGCAAGGGAAAGTTGCACGTATTGAATATAGCGCGAAATGAATATAGCGAAATTACTCGCAAAACTCTAACGATACAGGCATAGCAGTTACCTCTATTATGTACTCGAGAGATTTCACGTAGTCTCGTTCAGTCTGTATCATCTCCCTCATTATGAGCAGTATTGTTCTGCAAGGTGAAATTCCTCGTTAACGAAGCTGCACACGTGTAATAATTAGAACGATGGCGAAATCACGGAGAAACAATGGGTCGTCACTTCACTGACGTAACGACGAAATATCAAGCAACACGTTGACGCGTCGCGGCAATAATATTTCATTTTATTCTCGGCTATTTTATTCTCTTCACTTCTATCGTCTTTAATTAGTTTTTATCAATGCTCATGTAATTAATTAATTAGTTCGCTTTTCGAATATATCGAATGAATCACGCGGAATTGGGGTGAAACTTAATGTCTTTTAGCCGAACATGAATTTTTAACTCTCAGTTAAAACGTGCGTGGTAACATGTACTTTTTCGCTTTCATTCCCGGCGCGATGCTGGCTGATCGGTGCAGGTGCGAATTCACCGGCGGCTTAACCAGTCTGCGTGGTGCCGGGCTTCGCGGAGGTGTCCGCGGCGGCGAGTCCAGCAGTTGCTCGGCACTCTCCCGAAGCTCGGCAATGTTGTCCAGCACTGGTCGGCCGCCGCTGCCGGCTGATCCGACACTTTCCATCGGGCAAGCGTAAGACGCGCTGCTGTCGCTGTCGTCCCAGGACGTCCCTAAAACGATCCCAACGTAAAGATATCCCTTATCGCGATCGTGTTGGCCAGAAATCTTCCTCGCGCGGATTGAGAAGGACTTTACTTTTAGCCAAAGTGTCGTCCCACGAGGTTGACTCTGAAGCGGCGAAGGATCTCCTCCTCGCGGGGCTTCCGGGTGCGGAGGTGGTCCTGGCGATTTCCAGCGCTTCCGCGCACTTGTTCCTAGCGATACGGCATTGCTCCAGCAGGACCTCGTTACCGAGTTTCTCGGCCAATGCCATCATCTCGGTGAAGTGCTCGGGCGGCAAAGGCGGCCTCGCCATCAGAAATTGCTGGGACCTCCTCTCGCTCGCCATGCGAGCCTCCTGCGCCCATTCGTAGGCGCGATCCTGCAGGAGGCAGCATCTCGATGTGTCCTCCAGGTACTCGCGTCTGTCCTCCAACCGCGAGCCGAATCCGCGCAGGTGTTGTTTCAAAGACCTCGCGAGTTCGCGCAACCCGCTCGCGCTCGCCGCCTCGGCAAGGTCGCTCCCTTTGTCCAAGTGTCTCTGTAACGTGAACAAAAGGATGCAAGTCAGAATGACGAATGACGAGCGCGACTAGTGCGAGTTCCGATCGTAATCTGAGCACAAATATTAAGGTCAAAGTACCAATGACCGTACATGTACGTAATCCTGTACGTAATTCTTTTGAACCCTTATTCTGGACGCTCTTTTATTGATATCTAGGCTGAGAAAAAAGTGCTTGAAAATTTATTTACGGAATATATATATATATATATATAAAGTTTATTCATAGAAATAAACTTTATTTGACAGAGATAAATTTTGTATTCCACAAATAATTTTCAAATATTTTTTGTATAAATATAACTTTTATATCAGCTGATATGATAGTTATTTTAGTACATCAATTATATCAATGTAGTTGATCTGGTTGTGGCAAACAGATATCTGTTAGGTTGATGTTTACCATGGATTCACTCTGTTTGCAGCAACTAGATATCATCACTGCTGTAACGCCAATAACACAGCAATTGCTCTGTGGTCGCGGCAACCACATAATTAGTTATTTCGTATTTATTATGGAATTTGATTGACACAACCACAGTGGATCAAACATATTGTTTTTTCTTTTAGCCCTTAGAAAACGTTTTTTTTTTATTTGCACAATTATGGTGGGCCAACTATATTATTTTTTTCTATGTGTAGCATTTTATGTGCATTTTATCGATAAAAAAAGAGTTAAGAATTTGAAAACTTAGATTTTTTGAAGAATTTAAAAAAGGACTTTGGTCTTTAAATACAAATATTTAAACTTTTAATATGAAATATATATATATATATATATATATATATATATATATTGAATATAGGGTGTCATCTAAAATTAGATTCTAAGATATCTTTATTGCTTTTTATATTAAAGGAAATATATAAAAAATAAGTTAGATGATTGAAAGAGAGGAGTAAATATTGTGATCGCCCCTTTCCAACCACATAATTCCATTCTGAACGTTTAAATATTCGTATTTAAAGACTAAAATAACAAGAATGTCTAGGATTAAATACGTGTTCGGAAATTGATACTTTTATTTTAATCCGAGCCGCTGAGAGCCAGGTTGTGTTGGACCATTCTCCTAATGTTGCTCATTACGTGTGTTTGATTCTATCTGGGAACTTTATCTAGAATTTCATTTGGGAATTCGCTATGAGAGTGCAAGGCCATAACGGAAGTCCGTCGAATATTTCATCCGCCGACTCTCCTAACGAAGGGGCGCGATAAAGAGACGGCGGGGTTCTCCCGCGTCTCCCGATGAGACGAGATATCCCGGTGGTGGCTGGCAGCGGAACTGCGGAACCTCCCGCGGCGTCCGACGGAGCCGTCCCTAACCGAGGGGCCCATAAATCGACATATGGGGGTAAATAATGTCGCGATAAGTCGGGGAGGAGCCGATATAGAGCCGCCACCGTGCGACACGGCATCAGCACGCTCGTACGCTCGTAGAAGAGAAGAAGCGGCTGGTTAACGCGCACGTTTACACAGAGAGAGGAGCGAGCGCACGCCCGGTATTATATCCAGACATGATGATACACGTACTCGCATTCGTGGAAGCGTGAAATCCACTTAGACACGGCTCGGCTACATCCTGGAACACGGACCGCTCCGGTCGAGCGTCCGTGACGAAAGACGCTCTCTCGCGTCTCTCGTCGCACGATCGGCCGAGATATAATAGCGCGCGATCGACGAGGGACGGAGGGCCGCTCGGGACAGGAATCGCGATCCTTTCCATTCCACGCACGGTTACGCGTTAATGTCGACGACGTAACGCGTCCGCGACATAAGTCGTCCGAGGATTTCTCCGTGCGGTTTACTTATTAGGTATACATACATGACCAGATATAACAGACAGTTATATCAGACAGGTGTACGAAAATTCAGTAGCAATTTTACTAGTCATTACTGTGAAGGCTCTGTAGCTTTTTTGAGTAGTGTATGTATATAGCATTTATCGAAATTAAAATGCGAGAATAATTTTTAAAATTTACTTGAAGCACTACATGATGTAAAATATGATATAAAAGTCTGAGTACAACGAATCAATTGATTAACTCAATACAATATATTTGTGTGTAATTAATGATGTAATTTAGAGAATTGTAAAGCTTCTGTTAATCGATTTCTCACATCGTGATAATCATGAAAGTCTGGCTAACTTCCAGTAAATTTGTCATTGCATCAACATAGTAAAAAATCTACAGTATCTACATAGTAAATTCAAAGTAGTGATGTAAATTCAATGATCAATTCAACACATTTGCTCTTCGTGAATATTGCTTAAAAAATGTAAAGTTTCCATCATCGTTTGCCTCACGTCGTGATAATCATGAAATCCTATCTGGTGATTAATATGCGATCGAGGACGCGCTGGATAAAATCGGACGTTCGAGGAGGAGAGAGGGCGGCAGTGCACGAGTTCCGTAAGAAGAGAAAGAGATCGAGAAAAGTATTTTGCACGTAACACGCGCACCGTTTCAGCCGACGCAATATACGCGTCATGTTGCATCCCTGATAAAGTGTATCACGTCTCCCGCGGTGTCGTGAGACACTTTAATATCGTAAGTAGAAAGTGTACGAGTGCGTAACCGCCGCTTTAGACGCGTTGCCACGCTGACGTTCTGAGCGCCGAAGAGAAATGCGCGTGGTTTAAATATGAATGACTTGCTCGCAGGAGTGACGTGAGCTGTTTGAGCGCCCGCGTTACGTTTTATCGCAATCCATTAAACGATAATCGTGTCTGCGACTGGTGACCTGCGGAAATTGCGAGCGCAAAACGATTAAAACGACCATGCGCGTCGCTTTATTACGTATCTATGCGTCTCTCGAAACAGTCGCTCTCTTAAACAATCCCATTCAAATAACATTTATATACACGAAGAGAAGAGAATTTATAACAATCGTTGCTATAGGATTTTGTAACCATATGTACAGATTGACATTTTCTGCAGTATTTCATTATCCTTTCATTTCACACGGCACTGGCATTAATTATTGCAACACCCAATAAATTTGAGTACTCACACAAGCGCTTCCAGACAATACGATTGCTAACTACGATTCTGGATGATTCTTCCCACTCATGCTTTGATTCATTTGATGATAGTCTGCGATTTTTCAGACAAATTTTATTTGTCAGAAGTCAGTCGTCTACTGCAGTTGTACAGCATTTTTTTTACTTTATCCTTCGTTCATGCTAATTTCTCGTTTCTCGGTATCGTTGATTGATCATCTGGCTGTTATTTCGCGTGTAGAAAACTTTTCTTTAGATAAAGCAACAATAATACTCTTCGTGTTCGGACTCAGGAGACGAAGGCGCGTCTAAAATAATGTATTTCTGCTGACTAATTTATTATTAATATTACTCGGAAAAAAAACCTGATTCATTAAGAATCGATGATAATTGCGCAATGATATTTAGCGACAGATGCGATTCTTTCACACGACTAGATATTACTTATTAAACTAGCGATAAATTTTCACATTATACGCGTCTCACATAAATTCGCGCATTAAATTGCATTCCCGAGAATATAATTACGCGGAATGCCTATGTTTGTTTTTTTACGACCGGCTCGATCGATCGCGAATGAGGCACGCTTTGCGAGATGTTGTTCATCCCCTTGCGCGTTCGCTCAGCTGCGTGCACGTGGCTGGTTCCCTCAAGAATCTCGAAGTGACAGAACTATTTTTCTCCTCTCCTCATGCTGAAGCACGAGACACGTGAAGGAAATGCACGACACGAGGCATTATTACACTAATGGCACTCTTAGATATTGAATAGCACGCAGGCGCGCTATTATTACTTACGCGCATTGATATAATCTTCCAACGATCCGTTTAGGACAAAGAATATCTCCTAGTTGAATTATGATATTATTTTACTGTAACACGCGAAGTGCGTTTAAATTCTTCTTTTATTTATTTTGTTCTAAAGAATTTGTCTCTGCTCAATCTGCACTTATAATGTAAAATAATCTTTTTGTTTGTGTAATGAGCAATCTCGGACTTTTCAGATTAAATAAAATGATTATATTTCTATGCCGTTGTACTTTTACGTTATAATGCATGCGAAGGATGACAGAAGATCATAAATCAAAATGGCAGACATATATTATTCCATGCACAAAAGAAAGAACATCCTTGTTTCAAAAACATTCTTATTTTTGACATGTTGATCTTCAAATGAGACTATATAGCGTCAACGAGTTATTCGTATTAATATATTTTATATAATTGAACAAAGAAAAATATATTTTTATTATTCAAAAATAATGTTGAATAATGAGTAGAGAGCACAAAATATTTGATTGAGAATATGATGTTTTCAAATAGAATTTAAATTAGAATTTAAATTAGAATTGAATTTAAATTAGATTTTTAAATTGGGAATTTAAATTGGAATTATCATTAAAATAATTATATTTTTTACTCCTTATACAAGACTATTATAATATTTAGATAAAATTATAACATTGTTGAAATTCAAGATTTTAATTCTCTTAAAGTTCTTAAAATTTTAATTCTAATTAAAATTTTTGTAATAATATTATTGCTTATATATGAAACAATAATTCTTAATTAATATATTAGTTTTAAATAGATATTAATTTTTCTTTTGTATATCGACATAAAAATATTATCATTTAATTTCACTTGCAAAGTCCGAGAAGTTATTTATTTATTACATAGGCTAATAATTTGATCACATTTAAGTGGAGTAACTTTAAATTAAATTTAACTACACTGTAGAAAATTTGTGTAAAATTCCATATAATTATAAAATCAAGTATTATAGTTGTAAATTTACACAATTTTTATCAAAATGTGTCTTTCGTCTATATAAATATATTTTTATGCGATAATTATGTGTGTAAATTTACATCTATAATAGTTGGTCTCAAAATTACTATAATAGATGTAATTTTACACAAGTTTTTTACAGTGTACCTTTAACTTCATTCATCATTATGCGACGATCGATACGGCG